CACAGTTTTTGCATGTGTATCATTAGAAATATGATTATAAACATTATCTTTTATATATTATCGAATAAAACCACATAAATATTAATGTTTAAACTCCCATTCCTCATCAGACACAGAATCCGACTTTGCGGAGCTAAAAATTGGTAAATGCAATTTCTTCACAAATAGTAAGTATTTCATCTTGCTCTTTCATAAATGGTAATTAGAACCATTCAGGAATACAATCTTCATCTTTGTATTTGACTCCATCATTCAAACAAGTGAAATAGCCCTTAACCAAGAGTTCTGATGTCACTCTGATGGAAAATTAAGACACAATAATAGACCAATATGTAGCGAATATAAAACTTCCTAAACTTGTAGGAACCTTGAGGATCAACAACAAATACATGACAGCAAATCGAACAAATAAAGGCATAAAAGAACACCAATATTTTTAATGTGTAAAACCCCTCAATATGGGAGTAAAAACCACGATTCATCCAGACCAAAGAAATAATTCCACTATAATCAATTAAGGGTACAAGAGAGTCTTAAATTGATTCACAAACTAGTGCTAAAAATCGCAAATCACAAAGCAAACTAGCTTACAAATAAGAATAAAAAAGCTGAAATTGTTTCCAAAATTTGCAGCTTCAGTGCGAAGTAAATAACTTTCACCTCAGACGTTGTTTTGAACTTCTGAATGGTCAAATGTTAGATATATGTGCTACGAACCTGTCCACCAAATTTGAGCTCGATCCAACGGTTAACGAATCAAGGATCATCGATTTAGTGAAACTGGTTACAGAAAAATGAGAATGAGTTTCTCTCCTCTTTTCTCTCTTTTAAATTCTTATTTTTTTCTATCTCTCTCAACCCTAAATCGACCATCTCCATTTAAATAAGTGAGTCAAATTAGGTAATCATATTTGGATCTTTCTCCACATAGGAAGGGAGCCCAAACCCAACACATCCGGGAGGGTTAAGGTACATGTGGATCAGATTTTGGTAGTTGGTCCGCCCATATTAATCCCTTTAAACCAGTTATGTCAACCACTTGGCCCGTTGGGCCGATTCAACCCGCCCAATTTCCTTTTATTTTTCGGTTTCAATTGGGTTGAGCCAGGTGGGTGGTCCTTATCCACCCCTATTAATAATATGTGTGTTCGAATCTTTGCTTTTGATATTTTATATATTTTTTCTATTTTAATGAAAAATACTATGACATGAATTGATTCTAAATGTATTGTTGGTCCACAATTAACTTAATCAATTTTTTCTTACATTGTTATAAAATATGAAATAAATTATTAAACTAAATCTCGTATTTCCTATCCAAAAGATCTTTTGAATTTTATTTTATTTTAATTTCTTCAAATTATATTTTAAATAATAATATTTTAACTAGCATTATAATTAAATAATTAACAACTTATTATATGACTAATTCATTTGTTATTACTTTTTTATGATGAAATATTAGAATATTATTTGTGTGAAGTAATAACTTTCACCCCACTCTTCTCTCTCTCTCTTTTATATATATATATATATATATATATATATATATATATATATATATATATATATATATATATATATATATATATATATATATATATATATATATATATATATATATATATATATATATATATATATATATATATATATATATATATATATATATATATATATAAAGTTGCATTGTTTAATTTTATTTTTAAATAACATTTTAAAATAATTTATTATTATTATTATTTATTTAAATTATTATTAATTAGATAATAAATTCAATTATTAAGTTTAAAATATTTTAAAACTTATTTTAGCCTAATTTTTTACAAGTTTTTCTACTGATTTAGATTTTTATTTTATTATATCAACTCTATATTCATACGTTTGAGTAAGAATCATGGTATGTCTCGTTAAGTGCAATCGAACTCATAATTTTCATCTATTAAATACATAATTTTAAAATAGAACATGGCCTCCAAATTTTTGGACGACCATGTCAAGGTGGAGATGGTGGCCGGTGCAGTGAAAGTAAGCAGTTGGGGTAATGGTAAACTGGGGAACGATCATTTAAATTTACCGTACATTTTCCAATTTGACATAAACTTTTTCACTAAACAAATCATGACACTACCATTATCACACAACATGTTGCATGTTTGATTGTTCTCTTCTCTTTTTTAAATGTCATTAAGAAAGCTTTTTAATGGAAAATATTTTATGATGCATCACGAAGCGTTATAATGGGAAATATTTTATGCCTCAAATTAATTGAAGATTTGTTTTTAACTAATGTCTGCATAGATTTGGGATGCATCACGATGTAAGAAAATAATATCTATGGAAGAACTCGATGCAAATAGAAGCTTTCTTGTTATGTTTAAGTTGATAGAGGTACTCTCTTGACTTTTAAAGCCATGGTTGAGGTTGAAATAAGAGAAAATTCTTTGACATTTTTTACTTTTATCAAGTCTCACATTGTTTGGATTATATATATATATATATATATATATATATATATATATATATATATATATATATATATATATATATATATATATATATATATATATATATATATATATATATATATATATATATATATATATATATATATATATATATATATATATATATATATATATAAAGGAGGATCAAGGGAATACCAACCTAAATAACTACAAGCAAGAAGACTAGCTTCCTATAATGTTACACATAACACAACAACAACATCCCCTATTGTAGAAAATCAAAGAAAATCTGTCATACGAAATCCAATGGTCTTTTGCACCATTTATAGTAATATCATTTAGGCTTTTTATGAGGAGATAGATCCAACCACTACCAAAAGAGATGAATAACTCTATGAAAAACTTCAATTGGGATAGCCACAACATCGTTAAATATCACCTGATTTCTTGTCCACCAAAAACACCAACAAGTTGTTAGCCAAACCAAGCAAGTGTTTCGCTTTGATGTTTTCCCGATAACTCTTATAAACCAAGCTAACATATATTCGACAGTGTTTGAAATAATTGGAATGGACAAGCCCATCCAACTCACAACCTCCTACCACACCAATCTAGATTTAGGGCAATTTACAAAAACATGATTTACATCTTCATCAGCTAGAAAACAAAAGACACACACTTTGTCGTGCGAATTTGAAACTACACCTCTACTCGCAAGATTTCAGCGCGTATGCAAGCGATTCAAAATTAACCTCCAGCCAAAAAATTTAATCTTCAAAGGAATCCTAGATTTCCACAAGATATCCGAGGCTAGTTTCAAATTAGAATCTAAAACATTGGTGCCTGCAGCACGATTGCGATACGCATAATAGGACTTTACGCAAAACCTATTGAGAAACCCTTTTGGCCAACCAACAATATCCTCCTGACCATGAGAAGGATTAACTTCTGCCAATAACAATTTTAATTCTGCCAATTGGTTTTCCATTTCTCCTCTCGACACATAAATTAAACCCTTCAACTCCCACAACCAATATTCTCCCACTCATCTGCCATACTCATTGATAAATGCCATCTTGCATCAAGATGCTTCAAACAATTTTGGATAGAGTTTCCTCAAACAAGATGCACCAAGCCATTTTGAATGCCAAAACAAAGCGAAGTTCCCATCTCCCAGCTTCCATGACAATTGATTGTAGAAACCATTCTCTTGTAAATGATCTCCAAGACTCATTATTTCCTTCCACCAAGTATACTCAAAATGAGCAGTGCATTTGGCATCTTTGACGAGAATTCTTCTCCTCAAATTACTGTATTTTGCTTCAAGAATTCCTACCCATAGTGCATTTGTCTCATTGACACACCTCCATAACCATTTATTTAACAGTGTCGTATTAAAAGTGGTCACATCTTTAATACCCAAGCCTCCTACTTCCTTATGCTTACAAACCAATGACTATTTCACCCATGGAATGGTGTTTTTATCAGTCGTGCCAGCCCACAAAAACTTTCTCTGGTGACCTTAATCTCTTTGACCACCTTTATCGGAGCTTTATAAAAGGATAAATGATGGACCGACATATTGGTGAGCACCGAGTTAATAAGTGTAACCCTACCTTAATACATTGAATGGTTAGTTTCCAAAAAGATAACCTCTTTTGATTACCTCCAATGGATAGACCAAGAATTTGAAAGGTAACATACCCGTCTTGCAAGTTAAGAAATGAGAGGCTGTCTTAAGGAAAGATTCGTCCACCCCAACGCCAGATAAACAACTTTTCCAAAAATTAATTTTCAGACCAGAAATTAATTCGAATCCTCTAAGAATGGACTTTAAGCCCTAAAGATTAGACCAAGTAATATCGTAAAATATAACTACATCATTTGCAAATTGTAAGAGATTAACAGAAGTATTAACATTCAAGGTCACACTTGTTAGCAAATTTCCGTTGGCAGCCCTTCTGATCAAGTACGCCAAGCATTTTGCAACTATGGTGAACAAAAATAGGGATAGTGGATCTCCTTGTATAAGGCCCCTCTTCGCTTTGAAATCTTTAGTAGTGCTCCCATTTACCAGCACGGACAAAAAACAGTTGAAGATCGTACCTTGCATCCACTGCATCCATTTGACACAAAAGTTCATTGCCAACATTGCCTTCTTTAAAAAGTCCCAATCCACGCAGTCGTAAGCTTGGGCGAAGTCCACTTTTAGGAGTAAACAACTTTTCTTCTTCCTAATGGCGAAATCAATGAGTTTGTTTGCCACCACGACTCCATCCAGAATTTGTCTCCCCAGGATGAATGCGGTTTGAGACAGATAGATTAACTTGCCAATGACCAAACTCAATTTTGAAGCCAAGATTTTTGACACCACCTTGTATATGCATCCTATAAGACTTATGAGTCTGAAATCATCTAAGTTTTGAGGATTATCTTTCTTAGGTATCAACGCAATAAAAGAAGAACATAAGGCTTTTGGCAATTTTGCAGATTGATGAAACTCGTGTATACAATTTACTGCATCAACACCAATCACCCCCAACACTTCTTAATGAATGCCAAATTAAATCCATCAGGTCCCAGGCTCTTGTTCCCGTCGCAACCATTTATTGCCTCAAGAATCTCTTCGCATGTGAAAGGTTGTTGCAATTTCTCATTATCATCAGTTGATAGTTTAGGCAAATGAGACAGATCCATATCATACATGCACATATTAAGACACCGAAACTTCTCTTCAAAATGGAACTTGATAGTATCCTTTATAGTGCACACATCCTCCACACCTGCAGAAATAGAGTTCATCCTCGATCTAGATTTCACCATGAAGTGAAAGAACCTAGTGTTTGAATCCCCGTCTTTCACCCATTTCAATCTTGACTTCTGATTCAAGATACTCTCCTTAATATGAAGCTTTTTCCAAATTTCTAGTTGAACATCAATTCTTTTAATCAAATCTTCCTCAGAAGTAGCATCACTGCCAGCAACCATTTCATCCTCTATGATATTATGGGTTTCCACTCCATCATTTATCCTTAGATCCACCCAACCAAAAACATTCTTATTCCACCATTTTAGTTTCTCTCTAAGGCCTTTTAGCTTTGCAATAAGAATACAACTTGCATTACCTGACACCATAATGGATTTTCGGGATTCTTTTACGAAATTAATAAAATATAGATGATCAAGCCAAACATGGAACGACTTGAAAGACTTTGACTCCCATTCCACATTATTTGAATATATCCAAACTGACCTATGGTGTGAAACGTCTCTGGCACCCACCTTCCATCTTCTAATCAAACGATCAGGCAAAAAATTTCAATCGAATCTCCTCCTACAATTTTCACTTAAATTATACCAAATAAACATATTACCCACAACTGACATATCAATCAAATCCATTGCATCAATAAAAGAGGAAGAAATTCTAAAATATATATAAAGCTAAAAAATACAGCTTTACAAATATATATATATATATATATATATATATATATATATATATATATATATATATATATATATATATATATATATATTACTATATATATATATATATATATATATATATATATATATATATATATATATATATATATATATATATATATATATATATATATATATATATATATATATATATATATATTACTATATATATATATTACTATATATATATATATATATATATATATATATATATATATATATATATATATATATATAGTAATATATATATATATATATATATATATATATATATATATATATATATATATATATATATATATATATATATATATATATATATATATATATATAGTACTATATATATATATATATATATATATATATATATATATATATATATATATATATATATATATATATATATATATATATATATATATATATATATATATATATATATATATATATATATATATATATATATATATATATATATATATATATATATATATATATATATAAAGTAATATCAGCAAATAAGTCAAAAAAATAAAATTCAAAATATTATTAGCTATAATTTTAAAATTGAGTCAAACGAAGTGAACAAAAGAAAGAATTCTAAAATTGAAGCGGTCAATTTGCAACACGACCTTTCTAATTATAAATAAATTATTTAGTAAGTTGGTTTAACCTTTAACCGATTACTATTAGTCGTAAAAAAAGTCATGCTGTAAATTACATTCAGATACAAGGATGCAAGTTCTATATATAGTATCTTGATGAGGCTATATTAGTAAAAGGACACAATTCCGCGTCACTGCCACTGAAAATAAATGATTCATTAAGCACCAATTGCAATTGCATTACGCAGCCGTGTTTTTACTTTCTACACTTTCTTTTCCGTCGACACATCCATCTAATTCAGCAGAACTATCTAACTAATTTTCTTTTTGGACAAAATTTCAACTAAATAGTATGTTTCTTATTTTATTCAAAAAATTCAATTATGTTATGTTTCTTATTTTATTAAAAAAATATATCTAAAGCAGCATAAATTTGATATTTGTATAAATTAAAAATTATGAATACGCTAACTTACTCAAAACATCATGTTATTAGTTATTAGCATGTAAAATATATGATAAAATAAAAAGGTAATTTCTTGGGTAACTATAACTTAGGTTGAATATCGATATTTTAGTGTGAATTGTAATAAAATTTTAATTTATTTTTAAATAAAATAAAATAATAAAGTGACGTGGTATTGAATCATAATGTTTAATTGGTTAAAAATACTCATACTCAACTAAATTCAAGAGTATGAAATGTTCACTAAATAAAAATAACTAAAATAGTCACGCTTCCAAATTTATAATATTGGTGTCCAAATCTTTTATTGATTTTGTTGCAAAGACAATAAATCAAATAACGCCTAACTAAGATAATAAGCAAAACGATATCGCATTCTTAAACTCTTTCTTTGGCATTTATTCTTCACTTTTGCTCTTCTTTAACTCGTTTTGATCCATTTCTTTGACCGAATTCATGCAATGATAGAGTGTCCTCAAGTAACTTGTCTGCACTGCCAATTCTAAACTGAAAACAAGTTGCACAATAACAATTCAACTTCACCATATAATTTTTTCTTTACCTGAACATCTCACCTTGACTCACTAAATGGATAAAGTAATCCTTCAATCAACATACAAAATAGTTTATACTGAGCTTGGTCATGTTCTAATATAAATCATCAAAGAAATCAAACACACATATTTGAAGGCTTTTTCGGTTGTATCTTGGCTTATGTTCAAGTATGATATTTTTGGGAAAGTAAGTTTAAACCTTTGGAGTTAGATGCCTAGTTCTCCTTCTATTATCATACCCTTTTGTTCCTTCTTGTGGTACTAGAGACTATTGTGGTCCCAATTATGCTTTGCATTCTTTTAATCTGTTCTTTTTGAAGAAGAAGTTTCTTTTTCCACTTCTTATTTTCTCAAAAATTTTAATTTTTGACCATTTTTTCTCTAGTACCTCATCCCCAAACTTAAAACTTTACTCACTTTCAAGAGCAACCCCAAACTTAATCTTTTTCATACCATTTAAGAACTAAAATTCTACCTAACTCCAAAGAGAGGGTGAAAAGCTAAGATCTTTCAAGTCATACGGCAAAAAATTAAGGCTATGTCACTGAAAGAAATGCTAAGCTCAAAGTGGTTAGCAATGGATATACATATTACTACATGGTGGTTAAAAAGACTTAAAGTTATAAATAAACAACTGCCTCAGTCGATGTCAATCAAACCAGACAAATTTAATCAAAATAGCTCAAACCTGATAAAACCATAATACATGAATAAACTTAATAAGAAAGAATAATGAACAATGGAATTTATTTGGCTCAAACATTATTAGTTGAGATATATGAAGGTTGAGTACAAGTTCTTTGATTATTTTCTTCTCCTTTGCCTTCAAGTTGTAAGTTGTTTTCCTGATGATCAAGTTCCTTTTGGTTCATTTGTTCAATGCTAAAGTGGCAAATTTGTAAATCTGAAAGAAACAAGAGATACAAACTTGTTCGTTGAAGACAAACATAAATAGTGATTGAAAATCATGCACAAGTGTCTACTACCTAATATTGAATCTTTCTACTAACATAAACTAAATCCTGCAAAAACAAATAAACTGGTTATGACAAATAGGTTGCCTCCCATGAAGTGTTTTTTTTTATGTCATTAGCTTGGCGGTTGGATTCAGGGGTCTGACAGCATTAGGGGGGCTTTTCCATTTGGAATCTCCCCTCCATAATAATGCTTTAGTCGTTTTCCATTCACTTTAAATCTCCTCATATCACCAGGATCTTGAACTTCAATTGCATCACTTTGGCAAACTTCTGTGACAACAAATGGTCCCGACCACTTGGATTTCAGTTTTCCTGGAAATAATTGCAATCTAGAATTGAATTGTAAAACTTGTTGGCCGACTTGGAAGTTTTACCTTATGAGCTTTTTGTCATGATATCTTTTGGTACTTTCCTTGTAAATTAACGCATTTTCATACGCAGATAATCACATCTCTCCAATTCATCGAATTTCAATAATCTCTTCCTCCCAACTAACTCTTCGTCAGAATTTAAGAATTTTACAACCCAATACGCTTTATGCTCCAGTTCTATCGGGAGATGACATGCTTTAGCATACACAAATTTATACGGAGAGAAGCCTAAATGTGTTTTGAAAGTTGTTCTGTATACCCATAGGGTGTCATCCAATTTTTTTACCAATCTTTCCATAATGCTGCCACTACTCTCTCCAAAATTTGATTTAGTTATCTGTTTCATACTTCACTTGACCACAAGTCTGAGGATGATATGGTATTGACACTTTATGTTTAACATTATATTTTTCTAGCAGTCTTTCCAAACACCTGTTGCAAAAATGTGGCCCTCTATCACTGATTAATACTCTCGGTACACGGAACCTGGAAAAAATAATCTTTTTCAAAAAATCAGTGCGGGCGTTATTAGCACTGCAAGCAATCGCTTCCACCAATTTGGTAACATAACAAACACATAAAAGAATATAAAGATACATGTTTGATTGGGGAAATAGACCCATGAAATCAATTCCCTAACAATCAAACGCTTCTACCTCAAGCATAATATTTAAAGTCATCTCGTCTCGTTTTGAGATGTTACCAGTTCTATTGCATTCATGACACGTAGACACATATAACTTACAGTCGTTAAATAAAGTATGCCACTAAAACCTACTTTGCAGTATTTTAGTTGCAGTTCTCTCGCCACTGTGGTGTCCTCCATATACTGAATTATGACAGTGCCACATAATGATGTCTGCTTCGTTACCTGCAACACACTTGCAAGTAAACTACTGGGACTTCTCTTAAACAGTTATGGATAATCCCACAGATAAAATTATCTTCTTTATAGAAGCATCCCCTCTGTTCCCAAGTGTGTTCTTCTGGTATTGCATTTGTCGCCTTATAATTTGCCATGCCCACAAACCAAGGTCTTTCACTAATTGTCATTAGCTGCTCGTTCGGGAATGTCTCTATAATACTTTGCTTATTTTTTTGTTACTTCAACATTTTCTAACTTGGAAAGGTGATCTTTCACCATATTTTCAACTCGTTTCTTATCTTTAATTTCCAAATCATATTCTTGCAACAGAAGCACCCATCCTAGAAATCTTGGTTTGGAGTTGCGTTTATTGAACAAATACTTCAAAGTTGCATGATATGTAAAATAGTAACCTTTGAACCAATTAAATAAGGGACAGTTATGGATAATCCCACAGATAAAATTATCTTCTTTATAGAAGCATCCCCTCTGTTCCCAAGTGTGTTCTTCTGGTATTGCATTTGTCGCCTTATAATTTGCCATGCCCACAAACCAAGGTCTTTCACTAATTGTCATTAGTTGCTCGTTCGGGAATGTCTCTATAATACTTTGCTTATTTTTTTGTTACTTCAACATTTTCTAACTTGGAAAGGTGATCTTTCACCATATTTTCAACTCGTTTCTTATCTTTAATTTCCAAATCATATTCTTGCAACAGAAGCACCCATCCTAGAAATCTTGGTTTGAAGTTGCGTTTATTGAACAAATATTTCAAAGTTGCATGATATGTAAAATAGTAACCTTTGAA